TGGAGGATTTCCGGCTGGGCGTGTGGCGTCACCGTATCACGGATCGAATACGGGAGCTTAAGCACCGATGGTGTAGGTTTGTAAATTAATGGAGAGGTTCCATAGAGTATAAGACACTTGAGGTTGAGCCACTGGCGTCATTAGGGCTGAGAAACCAACCGCCACACACCGCCGCGTTTCTGGAATATCGCCAGGCTCAGATTAGGCCACTTCCACTTCCATTTGCATATGATGGCCATGAAAGTTCGGCTCAAGCCCTGGGTATCTTGATCGGACGATTCAACGGATGGGTGAAAGTCAAGATTATAAGCACTAGGTCGAAAGTCAGACGTTATGATGAAAGCTACGTAAAGGTTGAGCTCCAGCGAACGTAAGCGCAGTCAATGGCGAGCATGACAGGACTCGGACACGAGCAATAGAAAGCCAAACTGCCTATTATGATTTATGGGACTTGTCCAAGACTCAAACTATCGACGACGAAGCGAAATGAAGCGAAATGGTATGATACGATCTGGCCCGGAATCGCCTGAATAGGCAGTTCCGGCGGGTCTCCAGCACAGGCAGACACAGTAACGGTGCGACATCCACCATCAACAGGTCCTCGGTAACGGCTAAACGAGTCAATCAGAGCGGTGCAGACGGTGGAGCGGCTGTGCACGTTCCATTTCAGTTGTGCTTTGAGCATCGAGAATTCATGGAGATGGGCTCTGATGGAGGGTAGGCAACTATTCGTGTTCTCTACGTTTGGTTGGTACTTGGTCCAAGTTGAAATGGTCAAAGTTAATGAGGAGGAAGTCCAAGACGAGACGCGAGACCTGGGGAAGTGGACCAAAGGCACCAAAGGTACGGAGTACTAGGAACCAACTACCCAACCAGGTAATTAGTATCCTTCACCTACATTTCACAAATAAGCACTCACGCGTCTCTACTAAGAGTTATGTATGTTTGATTGGTCTTATTCGCTCTGCAGCATAGTCTTCCTTGAATGCGTGCTTGTCCTTTTCTTTTGCTTCTGGGGTTGTCCCGGGCCTTGAGGGTGGGCCGATCTTGTTATCGGCGAAGAACGCTTGGACATCCCGGACTGGGTTTCTCTGGCCCGTGTTTCGGCCTTGGACTTTGGAGGAGATCGGGCTGAGCTTCTCTCAACTGAGTCAACTATCTCGACTAGATATGAACTTGCATCATTGCATGAGACAGCATCTTGGGAAACACGATGTATGTAGCTCGTACTCCGCTGCCTTGATGCGGGCAAATAAGGATACTGTTACCTTCTTCGTTACGGAAGACGTAGACAGTCTATGGACTACGGATCAGTCGTCTCCGAGACTCCAACAACCCCAGATTCATGAATAATCAAGTCATAAAATGCCAAGTGAGATCAACCCACTTGACCGCGCTTGTGTCTGATTGTGTGGTAGTCAGCCATGGCCCACAGGTACGCAGTATACTTGGAATTCACCTAACACCACACGAAGGACCACGCGAGCAATCACGAGCTTCAGGGTCGCGGGGGATAATTACACGTTGAGTAAACATTTGTTCCCATCCTCCAGCATGGTCTTCTATGTAGAACCAAAGATGGACACCATAAAGGATCCGAAGAATCGGCAAATTTTCCGACCGCAGGAATTGTCTCCTCACTCTCGTGTATCTACTCGAAGTACTACTTCTGTACCACTATTCCTCGGGTTGCCCAAAACAGGTTAGCGCATGGACGTCTGCGGTTAAACCAAGAGAACCAAACCCACGCCATGACGGCATAATCATCTTAGGGACTGGGAAGACATCAAATGATAATAATGTTTTCAGTCAACAGTTCTACATGCTAAATCTAAACTTCGCGCCGGCCATTCCCCGCCGATCAATCAAGCCACACCACCATCGTTGTTTTCTGGTCTCCCCCCTCAGGGTCGGGGTCAAAGTGGGGAACCTGTATACACCACGCCCCCCATAACCCCCATACCCCAATGCAAAGAACAAGCCGTTACCCGACTCACGAGATGACAGGGGAAATTCGTTGCCTCGCTCGATCCGGAGATGGTGGAGTTCATTTCCAACCGTCCCCATCCGATCTCCTCGACGATGGTATTCGCTGATTTGCCCGTGAGCTCGTCTGTGATACCAAATCATGCCGCCAGTTGGGATGCATTTCCCGTTCATTGCTGCTTTGGGCAAAGTACCTGCCTTAGGTTGTCTCTGCTTGATCCTTGAGCTCTTACTTTTTACCAAGATCCTAGTAGTAATGATGATAATTATTGGCTCTTTCCTGAACATCCATTTAATAATCCCTGCCTTTTAAAAACCCCATGTCTTCCCTCGTGCGACGCTGATCTCTTTTTCTCCGAATACTTCTTTCTCTTGTCCCTCTTTCCAGATCAGTCCTGGGCTTCCCTTTCCGTCATATGAGTCTGTCTGCTCCGGGGTCCTAGCCTTGCCTACCAAGCAGTCCCATTTCTTCGTCCGGATCTTGTATAGCATTCACTGAAGTATCAAGGCACACGGTGCTTTGCGCAAGATGGGAACCGAACGGTATCTGGGCCTTCAAGGCCACAAGCTCCAGCTGGCTATCGGTATCATTGCCGGTATGGACTTTCTGCTGTTCGGGTAAGTTTGGAATGGACACATCTTCTCTGGCATTTGCGCCTTCCGCTGGCGATATCTGACTCTTCCTCGACTAGTTACGATCAAGGTGTCACTGGTGGTCTTTTAACCTTGGATTCATTCATCAAGTACTTCCCGACAATCGCCCTTACCGGACCTTATTTTGAGAGTTTGAGCCCGTCTGAAAGAAGTGCGCAGTCTACGCGCCAAGGTGGGTATCAATTTTCCATATCTTGACTGGTCTGTGCTTCTCGGGCTGTCGCTTACATCTCGCTCAGGTATCGTTGTTGCTGCTTATAACTTGGGATGTTTCGCCGGATCGATTCCAACCATCTGGGTGGGTAATTGGCTGGGCCGCCGCAAGACAATCTTCCTCGGTTCCCTGATCATGGTGGTTGGAGCGATCCTGCAGTGTACATCCTACCATCTTCCGCAGTTGATCATCGGTCGTTTGGTTACTGGTTTTGGTGAGTTCGCCGGCCAGTACAGGCATCATAACCGACTCCAGAGGACCTATGTGCTAATGCAGGTGGAAACAGGTAATGGTATGAACACCTCGACAGTGCCCACATGGCAATCGGAATGCTGTAAGTCCAACCGCCGCGGTCAGATGGTCATGATCGAGGGTGCCATGATCACTTGCGGCATTACCATCAGCTACTGGATCGATTTTGGTCTGCTTTTTGCGGACCCCAGCGAAGTGGCCTGGCGTTTCCCCTTGGCCTTCCAGATCTTCTTTGCAGCGATAATCGTGGCTTTCGTCATGTGGCTTCCCGAATCCCCCCGCTGGCTTGTTCTCAAGGGCCGCGAGGATGAAGCAAGGCGGACTCTGACCGCTTTGCTGGGTAGTGAGGCCGATGAAACTTTTATCGAGACCGAATTTACCGCCATCAAGGCTACTGTCCTGGAAATGAGCAAGGGTTCGTTCCGGGACATGTTCACCATGACTGAGGATCGCCACTTCCATCGTACCGTGCTAGCCTACGTCAACCAGATGTTCCAGCAGATTTCCGGTATCAACCTGATCACGTATTACATTCCTGTTGTGCTGGAGCAGCAGCTGGGCATGACCATGATCAAGTCCCGGCTGATTGCCGCTTGCAATGGAACCGAGTACTTCATTGCTTCTTGGATTGCCGTGTTCACTATCGAGCAATTTGGTCGTCGTTCCCTGATGTTGTTTGGTGCCGCCGGTATGTCGATCTCCATGGTTATCCTGGCCGTCACTGCCAGCCTCGGCACCGACGCATCCAAAGTCGCTTGTGCCGTCTTCCTCTTCGTGTTCAACACCTTCTTCGCCATTGGTTGGTTGGGTATGACCTGGCTGTACCCTGCCGAGATTGTCCCTCTGAAGATTCGCGCCCCGGCCAATGCCTTGGCTACGTCCTCGAACTGGATTTTCAATTTTATGGTCGTCATGATTACTCCGGTGGCATTCGAGAACATCAAATGGCGGACCTACATTATCTTTGCCGTCATGTAAGCTTTGCTCCCTTTCTGTTTCCGGTACAGACGCTAACCAATGACAGCAACGCGGCCATCTTTCCCGTTGTCTACTTCTTCTACCCTGAGACTACCAGACGGTCTCTGGAGGAGATGGATCGTATTTTCCGAAAGACCAAGAGCGTCTTTTCTGTGGTTCGCGTTGCTAGGGAGGAGCCACACATGTATGGCAAGAAGGGCGAACTTCTACTCACACTAGATGATGTGGAGGACGACGCCGTGCGCCGTGCGAGCGTGTTGAGCCACGCTCACAAGGAAATCGCAAGCAACAGCGACGATAACACGAGCTCCGAGAGGGTGGAGCGCATGGAAAAGGCCTAGATGGCTTGACGCACGAATAGAAAGGCCCTATCCTGAATGCCTCTAGATGAGGCATGTTGTAAGAGTGGGACGGTTGAGACTGTCCACCTGCATGGCTATATACCCCGCTTTGAATTTAATTATGCTGAGACTTCTAGACTGATCCATTTTCGTCATCAGATTAAAGGCTTCCTTGCCCATCGTAACGTGTATGTCTATAGTTCTTTCGTCATCATAGCCTTCGTCGTCGGGTTAACTGCCATCGCACCACATTTAGTCTGTTCCTAAAGTACGATGCTGCAGGCTACAACCCTATTAAGATGGCGCACTACCTCACCTATCGATTCACCACACAGCGAATGATAAGATGGCTTGCATTACTCTGGTTCGAACGAGTCCTTCATACCAGCTGGTTGAAAGAAAGGCAGGGAGTACCACGCAAAGCAGCAGCTCAAATCAGATTTTCGATAGGAAACAACGACTAACAGTATTACTGTTTACGCAGTTTGAGTAGAAAAGCAGCTAGAACCACCGACATACCGCACCCGAGACATAATCAGTAGAAGTGGCTTTGACCGACCATCGGCAGCTCGAAGCTAAACTATGCTGTGAGCCATTTCAAGGTTTGCGGGGTCTGCTGCAGTGAGTGTTGGGAGGTGGGCGTTGTGACCAGCCGGGCTGTTGTTGTTTGGTCTACCGATATTATCTGCGCCCAACACGTTTGGCACGTTTCCGTGTCGGAATGTCGCTGTCGGAGTTACTGGACCACAATTAGCTCTGCTTTGGGCTTTGATTTTAGGGCCTGAATACTTCTCTGTCTTAACCTGCCGCTTCCGCTGCTCCTGCTCATGTTCGCGCGTGGCATGGTTTATGTTGGTGATGGCCACTTCGACTGGGCTGCATGGTCGCCGGGAAGGGTTACTGCCACTGATGGGAGGCGGCGAGCTTGCAGGTGGGAATGGAATTCTCTGTGGGCTTTGCGCAGGGTTGGGTGTAGAAATATCTGCTTTCAACATTAGTTTGTGTACCAGGGAAAGCGCTGGGGGTTGACTGGCACCTACCAATCTTGCGCTTAACGTTGAAGATTATGGGGCCAGGCAGCATTAAACCCAGAGCTCCAATCCAAGTCTTCTTACCAAAGATAGTGTTTTCATAATGACGGTCATCAAGCTTGAGGTCGCATGTGATATGGTGGGTGTCCTGTCTCCACCCACAACACTCTTCGAGTGCATCTGTAAACATGGACCAATCGAGCTCCAACTGCTCGATGTATGGGGCGGATTGTAAGATGCCTGGTTTGCGGAACTGACTGAGTATAAAGCCCTGAACCCGCGACTGCCCGGGTCCAAACTTGATAAGGACCTGATGGTCACGAAATTGAGTGAGCATATGTGGTTGAGTTACTTGCGAAGATGCCGGCGTCACTGCTGGCATCACCGCTGGTTCTGACGAACGCCCTGGATTCTGGGGAGCTTGACTCCTGCCTGGGGCGGGTGTCCTTCGGTCTTTCTTCATGGCAATCTTAACACTGATGAGAGCAAGATCGTAGAGCTTCTGAACTGTCTCGGGACCATTGTTATGATACTTAGCCTTGATGCATTGTGGCATGCGGTCGATGTAAGTTTCAATGTCACCTCGAATTGCGTCAGCTATAGCCGCGTTTACCTTCCGGCCAGTGTAAACCGGATTCGATTGAAGGATTTCTCTTAACAGCTCTCTGATGCTTTCCTGGTCTAAACCCTTTGCCCCGAGAGCGCGCCAGATTTCCGTTACGCTCACTGGCTTCATTGTGTCGAATCCGTGTACCGCACTGTATTTGGTCCTGTTCAGAAGCAGCTCCTAACCAAGGAAATAGTTAGAATCAACTTAATCCATCGAGGCTTTATAGAGCACATTTCGGAGGAACTCGTGCGGAGGACCAGACCGAAACAAAGGGAATAGCTCACCTGGGATTAATGGTGGCAGCAACCAGCCTAAATCACGAAATGCTTTGTTACTAGCTGCCCAGGCAGACTTTAACCTCACAACTGCTGATATTCTTAGCCATTCTTTGTATCTCTGCACCAATCAGGCATAACATGCTGATGTGAAGAACAGAGCGCGTGTTTCAATAACAGATGTTTTATAAACAGAGCTAGAGACTGACCAGTACCTGTGTAGCTCTAAGCATAGGATCCTCAAGTCTTAGACTGTCAATCCAGATGATAAATGATGCTTTGTGTATGAACTATTCATATCATCAGTCTTTCTTCTGAACTGAACAAGAGCTGGTGTTATATTTGTGTTGGGATGCAAAGGCAGCAAAGAAACAGTTGACCTAACCATGTCACTGACAGACAATGGAGGAGCAGACAACCCAGTTATGATCAGAAGCTAGGTAGATCAGTGGAGCATACCTGAAGTCACAAAGTAGGAGTAGAATGAGTCTGCGCGTGTATGGAAGTTGAGCAGTATGGGTTGGGAGAGTTGAAGCAATATAAGCAGTATGGGAAGTTCTCAGCTGGAAGGTTTGTTTTTCACAGCAGACAGAGGAGACAGATATTAAGCTGAAAGAAAGATTACCCATTCAATTAAAGCTAAGTACTCAAGGACAGCTAGTTACAAAAGAAAATGATGAACGTTCATTTACTCGTAGACATTCGTTAACTCAACGAGATCAATCTGGGCTTCCTCAACTTCATGGGCTCCGCCAGCAAACAACCCTCGCCAAGACTAGTAAGAGACCAAATGGCTAACCCGCATCAACTGGACCAACTGGACCAACTGATGAAGATCATCTTTGTCTGGCATGTTTCAACTGCCAGATAGATCCAGCCCGTCTTGCTTGGTTCGACAGGTAACGTTGCTAGGCAAACAAGTGGTGCTGGGAGAAGACAAAGGAATAGGATTCATTGAATAGAGCTTTTTCTTTCACGATGCCATGGGAGGAAAAGAAAGGCAAAGATGAAGCTACATAGATAAACCGGCGTTCAAACAAAGTTGGGCGGGACGAATTTCCGCTCCGGCTTTAAGCGTCGAATCTTCAGGAAAAAGGTTAAAAAAAAGAAAAATAAAAAAAAGGAAAAAGTTGGTCCGATTGTCGGATTGCAAAAAGTCCACTCCACGAGCAGATTGAGATCGAGTCTTGGGAGATTCAGATATCCTGGTTTCATTTCTCGTTACAATTTTTGTTGTGATCTTGGTTGATTTTGACGGGTTCTGTGCAATCAGTGTTGGGACTTGTTGCTTATTCTGAGTCCTGACAGGGGTACTAAGGTACTTACTACTGCCTATAAAGTACTAAAATCGGCCTCGGTTCCTGGCTCATCATCCAGGTACGTTGAATAAGGAACTGATTTCCCCTGCAAGTCTATCTATAGTGAAGGCTGGAGGAGATTATTGCTGTCTCAATTCCTCTCTCATTTCCTATTCCGGAAAATGAGACTCTACATGTCTATCTGGACGGTGACGCATGCTAATTGACAATCATCAGGCCCATCTTCAACAAGCCAGCGTGGAAAGACTATCTTCGTCCGTGCTGTAGCAATTGACGTTGGTCATCACAGTCCTGATATTTTGACTCTTCAGCCTCTCTGGCCGTGCGGGGCTTGCAGATCTCTTCGATACGTTGAAGGTTTGCATTATCTTCTGTGGTTCCGACTTGACTGTTCTTCTTGTTCTTTCTAATTGATTTAATCATTAAGAATTCTTACTTGCTCTGGGTCTTTCTGCATAATCGATGCAGCTATAATCATAATCGGTATCTCACTACTCATTCCATCGCCTCCTCAACATGTCCTCATCGGAACAAGAAATATGTCCCCGAGATATGGGAAAGCATCAAGACACCGAGAATGTCCGGGAACCATCAACTAACACTCAGAATGACGTCGAATCTGGCGATGAGCCCAGCGTCGCTGAGATTGAGCGCATCTATAGGTGGGTTTCAGCGTGACATGGGATGCCACAGAAAAACGCTCACAGTCATCCAGAAAATTGGACTACCGAATCATCCCTGCCTTCTGGGTACTGTACTTTCTCTGCTCTGCCATCCGATCCAATGTCGGTCTGGCACAGACGATGAACATGGAAGTAGGCCACAACCTCGGGTCCGTGCTGCACCTGACGCCTCATCAGATCTCGACCGGTCTCGCCTTGTTCTACGTCTGCTATGTGGTCTTTGACTTGCCGTCGAATCTGTTGATGACCAGACTCAGCCCGCATGTCTGGATGAGCCGGATCGTGATCAGCGTGGGTATCATTGGCAGTTGCATGGCGGCCATGAAAGCAGCGTGGAGCTTATAGTACGTCTAATTCCTGCTCCTTTCGAGTTGCCAATTTCTGACCACACACACAGTCTCCTCCGTCTTCTGCTCGGCGTCGTCATTGCCGGCATGTGGCCCGGAATGGCCTATTACCTCACCCTCTTCTACCCTCCCTCGCGGACGGGCAAACGCATCGGCCAATACTTCACTGCCTCCCAGATCTCCGCCGCCGTCGTGGGCCTGGTGTCGGCAGGGTTTCAGCAGATGGACGGCGAGCGCGGCCTCGTGGGCTTCCAATGGATGTTCCTCGTCTACGGCGTCATCACCATCGTCGTCGGCATCCTCCTTCTCTGGTGGCTTCCCGACCGGCCCCTGGCTCCCGGCGTCCAACCCCCCCGTCGCAAGTATCTCCGGTGGCTGCCACGCAGCCCGCCCGCCCTCACGGGCCGGGACGCAGAGATCCACTACCACGACCTGAGGCGCGTCTACCACCGTCCGCAGTGGTCCCTCCGCGACCTCCTCCGCGTGTTCCTCGATTGGCGCCTCTGGCCGCTGTTAGTCATGTACTTTGGCGTGGTAGGCGTGGGCATCGGCGTCCAGAACTACGCCACCGTCATCATCAGGGGGATTGATCAGTCCCTGAGCGGGATCGACCTGAGTCTCCTCACAGCCCCAATCTGGCTTGTCAGGCCCCTCACTCCCCCAATCCTACATCCAACATTCAAAACTAACAGCAGCAGATGGACCTCCTCGGCATCCTCCTGGTAACCCCCTTCTCCGACCGCTTCCACAGACACCGCGCCCTCTTCTTCTCCCTCCCCGTCTGCCTCCAGATCCTCGGCCTCCTCTTAACAACCTACGCCGGCTCTCCCTCAAACCCCTGGCCCCGCTACGGCGGCCTCCTCATCGTCGGCTTCGGCCTCGGCCCCACAGTCCCCATCACCATGTCCTGGACAACAGAGGTCTTCCAGCCCCGCCACGGCGAAGTCGGCGTCGCCGCCGCCGCAGCCGTCGTCTCCGGCTGGGGAAACCTCGGCAGCATCCTCACCACCTACGCCCTCTACACCGGCTGGCCCAGCGACAGCGCTGCCCCCGGCCGCGCCAAGTTCCGCAAATCCAACCTCGTCATGGTGGGCATTCTGTGCGCCAGCATCCTATCGTCGGTGATCATGCAGATGGGCCTTTGGCTAGCGGAGCGCAGGCGGCGCGCACGCGGAGTAGATGAGCCGGGCAAGATTGTTGATGGTGCCGCTAGGCGTGAGGCTCAACAGCGTGGTTTGCAGGGCTTGGGGCCTTCAGGTCTTCTCCGCATCTTCCGCAAGGGCACGTAGTCTTTAAGACAAGTGGTGAAATCGATAGATTGCTCAATATTGGCTTTGGAAAGATGGAGATAGATACTGGCTTCTGCACTCTGTGATAGCATGCAGTGTATGTACATGCAATATAATCAATAGACTAATAGCTGCTCGCTTTTTATGTGTGGTTTTGACAGCATATGTATATATAGCGATATGTATATATAGAGAAAGCTTATACCTACTGCAGCGGATACAGCAAAGATAGCATGACAGTTACACTATGCTACTATCATAAAAGCAATCATGCCTTTTTTACAGAACCTTGATTGTTCATGACTCAAATGATTGTGCTCCGTTTCACCTCGGAAAGAAGTCCTCTATGCTGTACGTGACACATAACCCACATGGGAAGACAAAGAAATCTGATTAAAAATGCAACAGCAGCAGTGGGTAACGAACGCAAAGGCGCAGGCTCTGGCATCTCGAGAGTAAGAGTAACAACCTGAAATACCGACATTAAGGATGGGAAAACGAGAAAAGAAATCTATGTTTGCTCCACACGTTGCCAGGCCGCTCTTGTAGTTCTACACCCAGTTGACGCCGGCGGGTATACTAGCGCTAATGAAATGTTTGCACATTTTGTTGGGATATCGAAGATATCTAGTTGCCACCGCAGAGCTATGGAGTGGTTAGTAAAGTTCAACCTTGGTATGAAAGGTGCAAACTCACAGTCTCGACGATGATACCGGTGATCTGGTAGGGATCAGCGTTACTGGCGGGACGGCGGTCCTCGAAGTAACCCTTGCCGTCCTTGGCAACCTGGCGAGGGATACGAATGCTGCCACCACGGTCGGCGACACCATAGCTGAACTTGTCGATGCTGCCGGTCTCGTGACGGCCAGTGAGACGCTCTTCGTTGCCTTCACCGTAGACGGCAATGTGCTCGTTGTGACGAGCTCCCAGCTTCTGCATGTAAGCCTCAATGGCCTTCATACCACCGTCAGCACGAGTGGAGGCAGTAGAGACGTTGGTGTGGAGACCGGCTCCGTTCCAGTCACCCTTGATGGGCTTGGGCTCGAAGGAAATCTTGACGCCGAACTCTTCAGCGACACGGTGGAGCAGGAAGCGGGACATCCAAAGTTGGTCACCCACTGTTGTATCTAGTCAGCACTGGCTTATGTATTGACGTAAGGTGGATTATGACGTACTCTCAATACCCTGGCAGGGACCGACCTGGTACTCCCAC